TCAGGAGACTTGCTACCGACACTACGTGTCTCAGAACTTCCGCTTGTTCCTGTGTGGTGATGCTGATGCTGAGCTAGGATTCCAGGGCCACGGGTGCAGGTTGAGCCAGTCTCATGACTGTGCACATGAATTCCAGGATTCCAGCTCTAGAAACCAATAAGTTGCTTGGCCTCATTGAACTTGTGTTATCTCAGCTGCCTACAACGCTGCCTTCATTGGGTTCTTTTCTACCTATCCCACTTCTCCGCCTTGGTTCGGCATCTCTGTAATGGTGGCCGTCTCTAGAATGGTCTAAGGAGTTCTGTCAGTGTCTGAACAGTGAGAGCTGAGGAAGGCACTTCCAGAAGGCTCTGATTTCTAGCTTCCCAATAACCATCTCTCTGCTCTCTCTGGCCGATCTTACCTTGCCCCCAGTCATCAGCTCCACGGCTTTACAGAGACAGGAAAAGAGAAAGGAAATGATGGAGGGAGGAAAAACATGTTTGCCAAGCATCTCCAGGATGCCAGGCACCATGCTGTTACATTATACAGATAGTATGTTGTCTATTCCCTACACCCTGCAGACAGATTATCTTTGTCCATCAAACAAGAAACCTGCCTGCATAACTATTGTCCACGTATGCATTATGTGTCATGAACATATTGAAGGAGTAGCTGAGAGGCCAGCCTCTGGAACTAGACCATTTGGGTCAAAGCCCCAGTTCTGCCACTTACCAGCTGGGTGACCTTGGGCAAGAAAAGCTCTCTGTGCCTCCACTTTCCCACATGGGGAATCTCACAACCACCTTGTGGGATTGCCAGGAGAATTAAATTAAGTCATGTTCTGTAAAGCACTTAGGACCATGGCTGGCACACTGTACATACTAAGTGCTTATTATATAAGTACCAACAAAATAAGTAAGTCTTAATAAAAATAACCCCCAGAGGCAAGGATTACTACTCTATTCCCTGGGTGAAGGCCCTCCTAGAAGCTCTCCTCCCACCAACCGGACGGACCTTCTCTTCCAGCGCTGGAGCCGGGAGGACTGGCTGCTTCATCGCCATTGACACCATGCTCGACATGGCAGAGAACGAAGGGGTGGTAGACATCTTCAACTGTGTGCGCGAGCTGCGGGCCCAGAGGGTCAACCTGGTGCAGACCGAGGTGAGGCCTGGGCGGACCAAGTTGGCCGTCCAGTTGCGGCCCTGGTCAAGGAGCAGAATGGCAGATCAGAGACCCATGCCGAAGATAGAACTTGGTATGGGGGAAAGGGGATAGACAGCATTGCTATGGTGACACCACCCGTAGAAACCCCCCACCAACCAGGAGAACCAGTGATGAAAGGCAGTGAGTGCCCCAGTGCTGAGGGCACCCAGGCAGAAGACTAGATGGTGACTTTCAGGAACTCTTGGACTAGTATTCCTGTCCTAGACAAAGAAAAGGAGATAGAGTGGGGGGGAAGGCTAGGGAATTCACGGAACACTTCCTTTGTGTCCCCAAATCACTTCAGTCACTGCACGGAGACATTCCATCACAAATGTTATTGAGTACTTACTAGGTGTCCAACCCTAAGGTAGCTGCTGGGGTTTCCAGGGAAAATGATATTCTGGAAATAGTGCACACGACCCGAGGGACAGGAGAGGTGTTGGTTTGGCACTTGCCATAGAGACAGGAGCCAAGTCCTACAGGAAGAGGTCACACAGCACACCTAAAGACAAAGCAACCCCTTCCCCCTGGTGGATCGAGAGACTTTCTGGAGGGAAGGAGACACTGAAGGCATCGCAAAAGGGTAGTCAGGTTCCAGAGAAAGAGGTGAGCATGTGCAAAGATCAGAGATGGGGAGATGGGGAAGGATGCAGAAGGCTGTGGGGTTTTTTGCTTTGTTTTTCCTTTCTCCTGGGAGTAGACCCTAAGACAAAGATTGGCGTGTCAGTCGTTTGGATAGGATGTGATCCCAAGACATACTGTTCAGGGAGGCAGAAAGTGGGGGAGAGAAAGGAAGGAGATCAGTAGCGGGTGCTGGACCCAGCTGTTTCCCATGGTCCAAACTCAGAGCTCAGTCTCAATGGAAAATTCTGGAAGGGCGCATGGAACATGTACCTGCAAGTTATCCCACCTAAGGGGACAGAGAGACGAGGCATCTATCCTGCAACTTGCCCTGTGTCCTTGGCTGAGGGCCACTTGCAAGATCAATGATTCCTTTGGCCTGTTAATACCCTGCGCACAGCCCTGGTGTGCTCCTGGGACCAGAACGCAAGCCTTATGCAAAGAATCTCAGGTATCTGCAGGACACCATCTGCAGCAGGGAAAGGTGGAAGGCGAGGGCCTTTGGCCAGGGCACTAGGGCCCGTTCCTATATGCCCAGGAATACCTCATTTTTTATGTAGGTAGACAACCTTATCCAAGAAGCACATAGTTCAGGTGACCTCTATGAAACGTGGAAACTCGTCCTCCAGGGCAGAGGGCAAGGACTCTCTAACCATACTGACCTGCCATCCTTCATAGACAGGGACTTACATGTGGACAGCCAGCTCCCAGATCGCTACTCTGACCCACAATCCCCTCTTTCCTGGGCTTTGCAGGAGCAGTATGTGTTTGTGCACGATGCCATCCTGGAAGCGTGTTTGTGTGGCAACACTGCCATCCCCGTGTGTGAGTTCCGCTCACTCTACTACAATATCAGCAGGCTGGACCCCCAGACCAACTCCAGCCAAATCAAAGATGAATTTCAGGTATGACCCACCCTCAGGCTTTGGCCCAGCCAGCTCCCGTGGCGCAGAGCACACGTGGAGACCCTTCCTGTTGAGAGCTGACACGTCGACGTGCTCTCAGCACCGGCGGCTCTAGGCAGCTGCAGAATGAAGGCCGCAACAGAACACGCACAGCCACGAGCAACCATTAACCCATCGCTCAGCGATTGCTGGCATTTGTTTTTAACTCTGACTCTGTATGTCTCTGAACTGAGGTCTGATTGAATTCGGGTCGGGGCTGTGGAGGGAGACAAGTGTATGCCCACAGGTGTGATTGTGAGCTCCTCCATCCCTGGGTGGGCTCGGGGTTGCTCAGCACCTTCTGTACAATTGGAATGTGTTCTAGGCCCTCGCTGCACAAAGTGCGGACCAGAAACTGGCAGCATCAATACCACCTGGGAGCTTATAGGAAATGCCAGATCTTGGGGGTTCCAGCTGAATAAGAATCTGCAATTTAATGAGATCTCTGGGGGGTGGGTTGTACACACACTGAACTTAGAGAAGTATCATTCTGGAACACAGCCCAGGCACGGCACCTCCATAGCTTGGGGCTGATAGAGCCCCAGTTGTGGCAGCTTTGGTCTGAGAGACCACTAGGAAAGGCAAAGCCAGAGTCGAGCTCTGTCCCAAGGACAATGCTAAGGTCACACCTGGCAAACAGAACCTGAAAACCTGGCAGCGTGAAGGAAGCTGGCTCTGGGGAGCCAGGCAGAGGGAACGATGCTAGGTCCATGGTTGCTTGAAATGATAGCCCAGCCAGGCTGATACCTTAGTGACCCGTCACACAAATAGTCTTAATTGGTTTGGAGTAGAAGCAGAGTGTTGAGTGAGGGAAGAGTGGAGAAGCAAGACCCAGGGTGGCTGCACATAGCATCCCCTCTATTGGCGGCAGAAGTTCGTCTCTCTCTGCAAACTTGCAAGCTTGCTCTGTGAATTTCCAGACCCATCGAGCTTGACCTGTGCAGATCTCTTGTCTCTTCTGAGAAGCCAAGCACGCTTCCACCTTCAAACAGCTTTCTCTCCGGAAGGCATGCTGGGAGAGCTCTTTTCCTACAACCCAAGGTGCTCTAAATGGGGTTTCATACTCATTAGGGATGATCCACCCCCAGTGCCTATGCTGTGACCTCCTGACCACTCAGCCTTTATAGAACCCTGGTCAAGTTGTTGAATAACTGGACTCACATCATTTGCCAGTACTGGGAGCTGGGTGTGCCTGTGTATAGACACACTGTCCCCACTGCTGGACCTCTGGGGGGGGGGTGTTACACAGTCCCTGTCCAAGGCTCACAGGGGACTGTCAACTATTACTGCAGAAGAGGTGGGAGATCTGGGCAGGTGTCCTGGGAAAGGGACCGGAAAGCCAAGCTGGGAGGGTGGAGATAAGGGACTTAGGGCTGAGTTTGGAAAACCACAGCATCCTCTGTTCAAGAGCAGCCATCTGATCAGTACCTGCTCTCTGTTCTTGTGCCTCATAGACCCTCAACATTGTGACCCCCCGGGTCCGGCCTGAGGACTGCAGCATTGGCCTCCTGCCCCGGAACCACGATAAGAATCGGAGTATGGACGTCCTACCTCTGGACCGCTGCCTGCCCTTCCTCATCTCGGTGGATGGAGAATCCAGCAACTATATCAATGCAACCCTGATGGATGTAAGTAGAACCCTGGCAGGGGACCCGCCAGCTGGCATTCCAGGGACGGGCTTCTGGTCCCCAGGCCCTGATTGCCCCTGCAGTCATCAGCCTCCCCTTGTATTTGATTCTGCGGTGCTCTCCAAGCCCACGCCCAAGGGCCTTTGCTCCCACTAAAGGCCCTGGTCCAAATCTGGATTCAAGCCGAGCTCCCATCTTTGCTTACGTAACGGCCTGGAAAGAATAGGTGAAAAGATGAGGCCTTGGGTCTGCCACAGCCCCTTCTCATCTCCCACACAGCCCACTCTTGCCCAAAAGTTCAGTTCAGGTAATACCCTCTATAGCATGCCACAACCCTGGCCCTGAGAACACAAAGATGGCGCAGGCATGGGGTCTCCCCTTGGTGTTCCCAGAGAACTCCCCTTAAGAAAAAGAGGGCACCTAGTAGGTGCCCAGTGCATGGCTATTGGACAAGTGAGAGAAGACAACAAAGGGCCCGTGAAGCCTTGCCTTTGCTGTTAGGGGCACTGTCTCCTTTTCCTTCCCCTGGAGCCCACCTCCACATCAGGCCCAATATAAACACTTCTACCCCTACCCATTGGGGGCTGGGGCCATGTCTCTGCCCCCCCCCAAAAAAATCCATGTTCCTGACTTTTGTGCATCTCCCCCGGGTCTACCAGTGACTTCCACTAAGCACGCCTCTACCTCGTTGATGTAGATATGTGGGTAGCTGGACAGTTAGTCTCATCCAGATACTTTACAGCAAAGGATTGTACCCAGAGAGGGAAAGAGACTTGCTCAAGCCACCCAGTGAACTAGTGGCAGAGCGGACACCCAGGATTGCTGGATCACAGTCTAGAACTCACTCCTTGGGCCTCCCCACACTTAGCTTGACCCATCAGACCCAGACTCCTTGTCTCCTGACTCAAGACTGAGAACACTGTTGCCCTAATAGAGGAACACTCCCATCCAGGTCTCACGTCACGTCATTCCAGTTCCCACGGCTCTTCCATCTCCTCCGAGACAGAGTGCTCTCTTCTGGGGCCAAGACCAACGGCCTCTCTGGCCTCTGATTCTCCTGAGCTTTCTCCCCACAGCTCTTAGGTCAGAAAGACAGAGAGGACACAAACAGCATTGCTAGCTAGTCCTCCATGAAAACCCTGGCACGGGGCCCAGAAGCGAGGAGTCCTGTTTTAGCCACATCCAATCTCCAGAAGTGGGAAGACACAATTGGCGTTCGCTCAGAATCTGCCGAGGTCAATAGGAAGAGAGAGAGAGTGTGTGTATGTGTGTACCTATGTGAAGGAGGGAGAGGAGATGGGGGTGGGAAATGTACCCAGCCTCTTCCTGGCTCTGTCTTCCTCTTGTCCCGACTCCTGCTTCCTGCCGTCTGTGGCCAAGCAAGAATCAGATGTGCTCCTGGCCTCTCCTTAGTAGGTTAGATGCCGCCTGCAGTCAGATGCCTTCTGCCAAGCTCCGGTGTTGATTGTATTCTCTTTGTGCCCAGGGCATTTCTCCTGTGAGCCTTCACGGGGGTCCCTTTGCCTTTCCCACACAAATAAATAAATAAGTAAAAAGTCCTTATCTGTATTCCAGCGCAGTCTGTGCATTTTCTGGTAACCATAGCAGCTTTGCTCCTAGCAGAAAAATATGAAGTCCTCTGGGTTAATTTTTAATGTTTCCCCTGGTAAAGGATGATGTTATCCATGAAATGGATTGCCAGCTGATCCCTGAAACCCGGCAGGAGCACGGATCTTGAACATATTTTCAGATAAGGCTCTGTCAGGCGTGCTGGCCTAATAAAGCATTTATCACAGAGACGGGAGAAGGGAATGAAAACCAGCATTCACAGAGTGGTGGGGGGGTGCCAGGTCAGGCTCTGGACTTATCCGGTCTCATTTTGCATTTGGCTATTATGATCCCCATTTTTCCAGATGAGACACTGAGGGCCATTGTATTTCCAGGATTTGCCCAAGGTCAAGTAGCTTAGAAAGGATGGAGCTGAGGCTCTGAACCTCAATTCTGTGGACTCTGAATGCCTCGAATGGTTGCCATGTCTAGAAATGGTAGAAAGACCATGCTTTCTGCATTGAGAGAGTTGTTTTCACGGAAACTGGGTGGCCTGTTCTGCGTGCTCCCCTGACCTTCCCACTGGAGAGGACACGATGCTCAGAGGACAAGGCCCAGTACATGGTGGGCGACATCCCTGGCCCCAGCCAAATCCCTATCTTTTGCAAGGGTCTGCTCTTGGTTTAGATGGACAAGCCTCTCTCCCCTCCCCACCCTAGCCTAGCCCTGTTTTCCATTTCCATCTTCCCACTGGCTTGTGGCTCCACTGTGGAGTCCCATGGGAATTATCTCCAAAGGCAGCTTGTGGGGATCGTGGGGGTGTTTCTTGGGTTTCACAGAGCACTTCGAGAATGGAAGAAGCTCCCCCAGTCTCTCCAGATGCCTGCTCGCCGGGCAGTGTGATGTAGTCCAGATGCACATGCTCTGTTTGTTCCGGGCCTCCGTTTCCCCATCTGTACAATGGGACTGAATGCATTCATCTATGTGCTGGGCTGGCACCAAGTGTCTCTTGTGTGCTGGCTCAAATGTTGGCTGCCAAAGATGCAGAACTAAGCGGAGCCAGCTCCTGCTGCCAGTGGGCTCAGCGTCTGCCTCATCCTTGCCAACATCTGCCCATGTCAGTCTCACTGAGCCTGGGCAGCAACCAACCTTTGGGGGTTATGATTCCTGTTTTACAGAGGGGGAACCTGAGCTTTGGAGAGAACTAGTAACATGGTGTTTAGCTCAACACATATGCACGTGCACACACATGCTCAACGCTCTCTAAATGATGCTTGAGTGAGTGAATGAATGAATGGGTGAATGGGTGAATGACTCATAGCTACCAACTGGCAGTACCAAGATTTGAACCCCAATCTGCTTGACTTAAAAAGATGGGCATGTTTCACAGCCCACTTGCCTCACAGGCTGCAGTGACTACCTATGCCAACTAAGCCCTAGTCCCAGCCTTGGAACTGGATTAAGCTCTCTGCCATGTGAGGGCCTGCCCCCACCCTCCCTGTGGGCTTAGGGACTCAGGGGAGCCCTGGCATTGAGGAGGTGCCGTGGCTGGCGGAGAGTTCATCTGCAAGGGGGAGGCTTTCACCGCATACCTTAATGATTATTGTTTGTTGAGTTTCAGGACATAAATACTTTATTTGGTTAATCCCCACCCAAGTGGCACTTCCCTAATGAAATGCCTTCTTTTGGAGACGAGCGGATCCATTGTGAGAAGTTGGGGCCAGGTTGCAGGGAGAGGAGGATAGGGAAAAGGGCTTTATGTCATCTGTTGGGCAAAGCCATTCAGCCTCCTGACTGGCAGGGCAGCACTGTCCGCTGTGCGTGTGACCAAGCCTGTGCCGTTGTTTTGTCAGAGCCACAAGCAGCCCGCGGCCTTTGTGGTCACCCAGCACCCTCTCCCTAACACGGTGGCGGACTTCTGGAGGCTGGTGTTTGATTATAACTGCTCGTCCGTGGTGATGCTGAACGAGATGGACACTGCACAGGTAGGAGCAGCGCGCGCCTTGGGCGCGTCAGATGAGCTGCGCCCTAGATGTGGGGGGGGAAGTACCCTTGAGGGCCATGGCAATGCTGCTTCGGCTGGCGTCCCCTGGGCAGTGGGTACCACCTAGAGTGGATCCCCAAACCTGCCCACTCGGCTGCTCACCAGGCCCTGTGGTTCAGGCCCTCCCAGTTCCAGCCAGGACCCTCCTTCCTATGGGCTTTCCCCAGCTTCCCTCGGGGCCAGACTTACTTAGTCCATCCCCCAGGCACTGCCGAGCCAATGGTCTGCCTCCCCAACCCTGTACACCCCCCCACCCGCCCCCCGAAGAACACCTGATACCTGCCACTCCCACCAGCCCTGCCCCTCTGCAGTGCCACCTGCACTGACAGAGCCTGGAGCCAACCTCAGATCCTTTATCCTCTGACTGTGGCTTCCTCCTGGGCAGCCTTCCCACACCTGCAGGCTTCATGCCTTGGCCACTCTGGATCTGCCCACCCCAGCATCCCATGGCCATAACATTCCCCCCCCCCCACATACTCAAATAGTCCCTGATCCAGGACAGCTCCTGGAGGCCACACCCGCTGGCTGGGCAGCCATTCCAAATTGGAGGAGGCAAGACTGACCTTTGCCTGACTTGGAGGGAAGGCAGAGTAACCCAGCACAGCACCATGTGAGCCCAGCCGCGTGCAGGGCTTGTCCAGGAAGAAAAGAACCTCTGAGCCTTCGTCTTGGCCTTCCTGGAGCCCACAGTCTGGCTAGAGACAGATGAGCAAATGGTGCCAACCTCGTGCTATAATAGAGGTCAGCGGCAAAGTGCTGTGCTGGCTGGGAGCAGGGAGCAATTAATTCTGCCCAGAGGGTGAGCGAAGACTTCAAAACCAAGGTGACTTTGGGCTTGAAGAAGGGATATGACAACGGGGAAGAGGCGGAGGGAACATCAGGGCCGAAGGCAAGGAGGGGTGAGCATGTGCGGGCTTGTTCGCAGATCAGCTTTGGGATCCCTGTGGCTGGGCCTTGGGTTTATAAAGAGGGGGAGAAGGTGGGGAGGCTAGCAGAGGCAGCAGGACACCGCCTGCAGTTCTTCCCCCCCCCCACTCCCCCTCCTACCCCCGCTATGCCAAGCTAAGGAGCCGGGCCAGTCCTGTAGCATGGTAAGCCTCAAGCTTCCATTTTTGAAGCAACCGAGTCCTTTCTTCAAGAAAAAGCTTCCAGCAAAGCCAACCATTGGAAGCACCCATAATCAAGAGCTGCTGGTGTTGCCGTAGGTGTTGAGGGTCTGGGGATTCCCTTGTGGTACCCTTGGGTGAGTCTGTCATTCCCGCTGCCATGGTGGAACCCCTGGGGCTCTGAGAAGGTGGATTAGAAAGCGTTCACTGCCCAGGGAGGAGAGAGCCCAGAGAGTCTGTGAGGCAGAGCAAGGCCGGATTTCTGATGAGGAAGTTAAGTCCAGGGACCAGAGAGGGACCAGAAGACAAGCCTGGAAGCCCGGAGGTTGGGGAGAAGCACGCTGGGAAGGTGCAGAAAATAAAGGTAACATCCTGAACAGGGGAAGTGGTCAGAGGCAAGGGAATGGGGGCGGGGGGTGGGGGTGGGAGCTGAGAGTGACGGTGTTTCCAGAGATGGAGTGTGCAAGGGCCAGGGAGCAGTCTGCTGTGGTAGGCGACACGAAGTGGATGGATGGTGGCCAAGTCTCTCGATGTCCAGGGTGGAATTGTCCAAGATGGGGAGGCAGGAGGAAGAGAAGAAGGCGGGTAGGAAGAGGATCTGGGAGAGGGAGGCAGAGGAGGGCAGAGAGAGGGGCGGGTTAGCTTGGGGGGTGGGGGTTCAAGGGGAGCCTCTCAAATGAGATCCTGGTCATCCATTCAGCCCCTGGGTTTGCACAGCCAAAGCTCACCGCTGGGCGCTGTCCGTGGTGCTGGAACGTTTCCAGCCAAAGCCCTGAACTCTCACCTCCCCACACCACAGCGCTCCTAAGGCGGGAGGCTGACAAGAACCAATAGACTAATTGCAGTGGGCTTCCTGCAGCTGAAGAGGAATAAGAGGGCAGGCTGATGCAGACCGGAGGAGCTGGGGTGTGGGAGGCAACCTTCTCTAGGAGGTCAGAGTCGGCCTCATTGGGAAAGTAACATTTCAGCACCGACTGGAAGGAGGTGAGAAAATGTGCTGAGGGATCGTCTCCAACAAACACGTTCCTAGCGGTAGAAATAAGGGCTCCAGGTGAACAGTGGCCAATTTAAGGACCAGCCATGAGGCCCCCGTGACTAGAGCAAGAGCGTGGGGCAAGGAGAGCATTCGAAAGTCAGACACGTGACACCACCAGATCATAGACGCCTCAAAGGTCTTGGAGAGAAATTAGAGTTTTATTTCGAGAGAAATAGGAAGCCGTTGGATGTGTCTGAGCAGGGAATGACATGATTTGGCTTTATAAGAAAGGGCCCCTCTGGCTGTGTTTCTGAGACTAGACTGTCGATGCAGGAACAGATGGTGATTACTAACAGCAGAAGAGACAGATAAGAGAGGAGGCAGCTGGATGAATCCAGGTCATAGGGGATGGTAGCTCTGGGCCAGGTGAGGGTAAGGGAGAGAATTCTGGGTGTATCTTGAAGGGAGAACCCACAACAGAGCCTGACAGAGTGTGAGATGAAAAGAGGAATTGCTAGTGGCTCCAAGCTTCAAGACCTGAGCAATGGAAGCTGGTCTGCAGAGTTCCAGAGCCCAAAGTGACCGGCACCCCATTCCTTTGCCTGAAAGCATCCACCCATGAAGTCTGCTCCCAGGACCCGGGAGTGAAGTGGAGGCTCTGACAGCCTATCTGCAGCTGTTCTCTGTCACCAGCATTGCTTTTTGCAAAATTGGAGCTCAAAGGAGATGCTACCTAGAAGCTCAGTTAAGGACATACAGAAGCAAGGGTCATGATCATCGCTATTACTCCCCCTGCCAGGGTGGGTCCTAAGTGCATGAAGGATCTCTCAGGCCCAGATGTTGATACAGCTTTTGAGAACTGATTCTCTAAATGCAAATACACACACACACACACACACACACACACACACACACACACCATCAGGCTTAGAAGTGCCCCGAGGTTGGCTGCCATATGCAGCTGGCAAGCAGCCCCTGAAACCGGCAGATGAATAGAGCACTTATTGATATAAATATCATCGCCGCAGCAGCTGGGTGCCTTGTGAAAATAAACAGTGGCACAGTGAGAACACCAGGAAAGCCGCCCTGGGCACCTGGAGGAGTGGCTCTTTCAAGCGGGCTCCATACTCATCTGCCAGCATGTCCATGCCAAGGCAGACCAGGGCTGTGCCAGCCCTGCCAATAGCCAGGTCTTCACTAGACTCATTTTTTGAGCCTAGTTGTATTGGGCAACTATCTCTTGTCACCCATAGGGTGTTCATTGGTTAATTTTTCTAAGTCAATCACCAGGCTTTTCTTCCTCGTCTTTGAAACCTGTGAAACCATGGATGACCCTGGCATTTGAAGTCCAGGTGGCATACCTTCCAGTAATCATAGCAACATGCAAACTGCCATGAAGATACACTGCCAGATAACTGGTAGGCTAAAATATTCATGAATGTATAACCCAGGTGTTCTCCAAACCCCTTGCCGTCCTTCCCACGTCTTCCATCCACTGAGTCACTGGTTTAGAAAGCTTTCACTTCCCAAACCATCCTTATGACATAATAATTGATTAATGTTTCTCATCATTGGCCCCTGAGCACTTTGACCTGTGGGTCATTTGTGGAGCTATCACAAGATGCTCTGCTTTTAGCGCAGGGCTGGCTACATGGCGTCCTCCGCTCCAGGACTGCAGCACAGCCTCTCTTGGGGTTCACATTTGGGAACTAGCCTATTGTCATCACCTGCTAACTTTAAGGACCCACTTGGGAAACCCTGGATCTTATTTTACACATCAGGAAGCTGGGGTCCAGGCAGAGGGAGGGATTCGTCTGAGGGAGGCCACAGAGCCCATCCAGCCAAGGCCAGAATTTGTTGACAGGGGTGGTGAACATGCCTGCCATCAAGTAGGGAATTGGATTTGCCATCGCTAAAGGGCCCAGATGAGGAGCCCTCCTGGTGTATCAGTTACACATCGGGCTGCGATCCTCAAGTTTGGCAGTTTGGAACCATCAGGCTCTCTATGGGAGAAAGACATGGCTTTCTACTCCCGTCAACAGTTACACTCTCTGAACCCCACAGGGAGTTCGCTATGAGTTGGCATTGACTCGATGGCAGTGAGTTTGGAGGGTTTTTTGAAAGCCTCAAAAATCCAGCCAGTTGTTATGAGGCAGACCCCAACTTTGGACGATCCTATGCATGTCGGAATAGAACTGCGCTCCCTAGGAGTTTCAGGGTCTGCGATTTTCAAATCTCCAGGTCTTTTTCCCAAAGCTCCTCTTGGTGGACTTGAACTGGCAACCTTGTGGTTGTAACCAGGAGTTAAACCATTTGCACCATCTTTCTCCCAAAGAAGGGCTGGTGGGTTTGAACCACTGCCCTTGTTGTTATCAGTCCAAAGTTGACCCCGCCGCACCACCAGGGCCTCTTTGTTTCAGACCACATGCCTGCCAATTGCCAACTTGCCTGGCACCTGGGTTCAGGAGCATGAAGGTGTGTTTCCTTGCTTTACAGCTGCTTTGAAAGCGGACCTGCCTGATGCTCAAAGTTGTTCCCTTTTCATCCTGAGTAAGCCTGCGGTCTCTTTAGTGAACCATTGGCTGTCAGGCCAGTTCTGACTCATGGTAACCTTGGCTGTGTCAGAGCAGGAGGATACTATCCATGCAGGGTTTTCAGGGGCTGATGATTTGGAAGTAAATTGACAGGTCTTTCTACTGAGGTACTTCTGAGTGGACTTGAACTTCCAACCCATTAGCAATCAACTGCATGAAGGGTACTTCTTTCCAAACCTAGCCCTGAGCCTTCACTTTGACCTTCTACCTCTTCCAGATTCTTC